CTTGGGCCGTTCTTGGAAGCGAAGCTGTCGACCATGAGAATGGCCTGTAGAGGTCGAGCCAGTTCCGCGCCGTCCCCTGAAACTCTAGCCCTACCTTTCCTCTGTGCGCCCATCTCTCTAGTCGAAGGTACGCCAGACTGGAAAACGGAAGCTAATTGCCGATGACCGACAGAAAAAAAGGGGGGAATTAGTTTTCGGTTTGGACAGTTAAGTCTTACATTCTGGAAGGAGGTCATGTAGTTATAATTATAATAATAACATTGGAAAATTGTGTCGTAAGTGGTGCTCTCAAAATTCCTTTTAGAGGATATATTTAAAATTTTTTATTTATATTTTTAAAAATTAATAGTTTGATTGAATTTTTTTATATACATCATATATGAAAATTTTCAATAATCAATAAATATCATTTCTTTCTGTATTTATGGAGCCAACTCATTTAATATACTCTAATTTATATAAGTTATTACAAAATAATCTCATATGAGTAAATGTAAGGTAAGAGTTTATTATTTGAAAATTTATGGCAGAAAAATAAATGTTGTAAATTTACAAGAAAATGTATTAATATAAGCATGTTAATTCATTGAAGATTTGTGAATCCCATGCAATAATGAAAAAAGTTGATAATAAAAAATGTGTTGTCCGTGTATTTGACAAAACTAAAATAAATTGAAAATGCTACGTTCATGATACACTAATATATTTTTTAATTTGTCTAATTTATGTTTTAAATATATAAGTTAAGATGTAATAAATGCATTTTTTATAATTAATTTACATAAAAAATAATAAATATTAAAATTTATTTTAATGTTATTATCACGTGAATAATTTTAATTAATCTATTAATTAAATTTAAATTAATTTTTACTATTTTTCTCTATACATTAATTATAAAAGAGTACATTTATTGCACCCTTGAATCACAAGATAAAAAATTCTTATATTTTTTTTAACCACCTATTGGTACAAGTAAAAAGAATTTAACTTCTTTTAAATAAAGTCTTGAATTTGAATTTTTTAAAATAGGACATAATTCGGGAATTCACAATTTAACTTTTAAATATTGAAGATTAATAAAAATAAAAAACCTTTATTTTTTTATTGCTTTTTGATTACATCAAATATCTTTAATTTCTACTAACATTTTAGAAGCTAATTAAGAGTAACTTTCGAAAAAATGACAAGCATTTTATGAAAAATTGTGTTTGCATCGATTGCAACTTTTATAACATAAATCTTTTTAGAAGTTGGGTAAAAGATACATTAATTCATGAATTTGGTATTTTGGATCTGGTATTAAGTTAGATATTTAAAAGGGTAATAATATGAAAATAATTTTTTAGTATAATTTTTTTATAAAATTTTTATACATCATTACGTTGGTACGTGTAAAAGGAATTTAACTCCGTTCAAATAAAGTCTTAAATTTAAGTTTTCTCAAGTCGAACGTAATTCTGAAATTCAATATAACTTTCAAATATTGGAGATTAATAAAAATAAAAAACCTTTATGTTTTTATTACTTTCTGATTATATCAAATATCTTTAATTTCTACTAACATTTTAGAAGCTAATTAAGAGCAAATTTCGAAAAAATGACAAGCATTTTATGAAAAATTGCGTTTGCATCGATTGCAACTTTTATAACATAAATCTTTTTAGAAATTGGGTGAAAGATACATTAATTAATGAATTTGGTATCTTTGGATCTAGTATTAAATTAGATATTTTAAAAAGTAATAATATGAGAATAATTTTTTAGTATAATTTTTTTATATAATTTTTGTATATCATTAAATAAGTAATATTACATATCCTAATAAAGTAAAAAGAACTAATAATGAAATAATACATAAGATTATGTAAAAAAGATATATAAAAAATTATTTCTCAATCATTTTTCTATCAACAATTATTTATCATAAAATACTATATATGGCAATGTTGATCATGTTGTAAAGTATTGTTGCAATAATTTCCACAAAATTTGATACAAATTAAAATGGTTCCTCTTCATTAAATGTTCCTAAGAACTGTTCAAAAGAAAAAAAAATGTTCCCAAGAAAAACGACAATACAACATTGAAACCGATTAAGCTACCATTAAAGGATGTTACATATTCAAAATATAAATCCACCCCTTTACTCTCAAATCT